CAATTTTTCGGAAAAAAACAAAAAAGGCTTCAGGAAAAAAACGGGAAAAAACTGTTTTTTTTCCGAATTTTTCCGGTTTTTTTCCAGGCCTTCACATCTCTACCTCATACCTTATCTAGTCTGAACCGGTCAGGACTTGTTATCAGCAGCTTGCCTGCTGTCACTTAGATCCTTATGATCTGACTGCTGGATATTAACAACCAACACCCCGCCCCCAAAGTGCCCAGATCGGGCCGACGTGCCCGGTGAAATAATGTCGCCCGGAGGTGACATCATCACGCTGGGCATGTCGCCAGGCAATGCTCTAGCAATCAGCCTGAGAACTCTATGGTACCATAGAGTTCTCAGGCTGATTGCTAGACCGTTGCCCAGCAACGTACCCAGCGTGATGACATCATTTCTGGGTGACGTCATCATGGCACGCACGCATAAACCTCCCAGACAGGACCGAACTCTCCCCGGCTGCACCAGGTAACCAACTAGGCAACCCTAAACCCATCCCCAGCCTCTCCCAAACACCCAGGGATTTCCCAACCCAGAGTTGGCAAACCTAGAAACAGGTCATTGTTTCTATCAGAAATAAACTCCCAAACAAAGAGGGAATGTTGGGAAATGAAGGCGGGAAACAGACTCCATTTTGTTTAAGTCTGTTTTGGTGAGTGGGACACCAGAGAAGGCCTTCGCAGAGCTATGAAACAGAATAGAGAGAACTTACTCCAGAACACTGTAATGACAAAGCTTTATTAGCTGCTTCTATATTTGAAACATGTATTTTTACTAATACACTTGGTTTTACTTGTTGTATGTAAGTATATACAATATTTGATAATTTACTATGGATTTATATGTTTGCCTTATCCCCTTTTCCCTTCTGTAGCCCACTTTTTAAAGATAATTTAAAAACCCTTACTCCCAAAGAAGTATAAAACAGAACTGCCAAGTAATATTGTCTTATTAATGGCCCCCAGAGCAAAATGACTGTCTTAACAGAGTTGGAGGTGGCCTTCTAAACGCACCCAAAAGAAGGGCAGGAGGGTCTCTCCCGGGAAGGAGGCTCCAGAGAACTCGTAGAGAAGGGCTGCTCGGTCAGCGTCGAAAAAGGCCACTCGCCCCCCAACGTAGTTCAGGCACACTCGGATCCTCTTCAGCTCCCTGGTCAGGGTCAGGGGAGGATCATCGCCTTCTGCGGCAGCACAGTAACCACCATCCCACTTCCCCACAGCCCAGAACCCTTCCTCGGGACTGAAGGTGATCTTTCCCTTCCTCCTCACAGACTTTCTGGCCACCCCCACAGCCCATTCTTCCTCACTTCCCACAAGGACTTCCCAGAAATGGCGGCCTGCTGTGAATCCCTCACGGCCCAGCACAATACCCCACTGGTCAAATCTCTCAGGATTGTTGGGCAGGGCTTGAGCTTTTTCTCCTCGTCTCACGCTTTTCTGATCCTCAGACAGGATGAGGAAGGGGTGGGCCGTGTCCGGATCCAGAGTCACATTTGCTGGGGGGGGGGGGGAAGCAGGAGAGAGAAGAGAAGCAGGTTTAGCTGGGAGGAAACAGCAGAGTTGTTTGCCACGTGTTCCAGATTACTACTGTCAGTGTCCCGCATATGTTCATTCCCTGTGGATCTCCCTGACTTGGCTGGTTGTTTAGCCATTTCCCCAAAGTGGCTTGTTCTGTTTCCCCTTCTTGCTTTTTGGTTTTAAGCTCCTTCCTGCCCCTGTCCTATCTGAGGAAGTCAAAAGGCAGAACAGACCTCCTGGGCTTGAACAACCGCTAGCAATCCATGTGAATACAGCCTGTCCCCCACATCCTATATCAAAGAAGTACCCCGAGGGAGAAGCAAAGAGCAATGTCTCTATTTTCAGTGGATCCCACCCTTTTTCATCCCACGGACCCCTTTGGAATTCTGACATAACGTGGTGGGGGCAGGGACAAAATGGCTGCTGCAGGAGGCAGAGCCGGCCACAGAATGGCTGCAAAATGGCTGACCTTCAGTCATACAGCGCAGATCCTTGTGCTGTGGTGGCACTGGCAGCTGCTGCCAAAGCAACATTGTTAAAACTCCGTACGGCCAATCAGTTATCCAATGGCCAATCAAAAGCCCTGCTGCCTTGTTATTAACAAGTAATAATCTAACATATAAGCTTAGAAAGGCAGGATCTCACAAAGTATATTGTTTATTAACAGCCTTTTCTTTTACTAACAGTATTTTAACAGGGAATGATCTCCTAACCTTGGGTTTTTAGTTTAGTGTGGGTTATCTTTTCTTTCTCCCTTAATTGTAGTCATCCCATCTCCAGTTTTTCTTGGTAGTTATGTAGTATTATAAAAAATAAATAAAAAATCCCCTCCAGGGGCATTAAAAAAAAAAAGCCCTGCTGCCAAATCTCCACATGATCTCCACTTTCTAAAAACACTTGGCAGGCACCAGGGGAAATGTTTGTGGGAGCCATGGTGCCCATGGGCACCACGCATCCAGCTTTATAAACAGGCAAAAAATCCCACGTGGAAGAGCTCTTCCACAAACACCCTGACCACATAAAAATGGGAGGGACAGAATGGGTTGAACTGGCAAAGCAGATCTTAGCCTTCATCCTAGGTACATCCCAAGAAGGGCCTTTCTCATCAAATTATCAGGATTTCCATGTTCTTTTCCTTTGGCCACAATTTCTCAGTCTCTGATTGAACTGGGAGGTGGCATGAAATCTCAGCAAAAGCTCACAGCAGGTGGATGAAGGACTCACAAAAATATCCTCCTCCAAACCCTAAACCAAACTTTAATTATCTGCAATAAAATGTATAGATCCCTCCTTTCCTGTCATTCCAGCGGACTCCCAGAAAGGAAAACCAAAAACATCCCCATAATACTTTCTGTGCTTCACAGCACAGGTCACTTGGGGGACGGAAGGACACTGGGATTTACATTCCCTTGAAACTGTGTGTGAACCAGATACCTGTGACTTCTAGACAGAACCAGGTGCTTCAGGATCACACTTCTATTGATGGGACAAGAGAAAATGAAATACTCCTTTACTCAACAAATGATTACCATGTTGAATCGTCTGCCAGAGAATGCACTGATAGCCACAGGCACAGATGGCTTTAAAGGTGGATCAGACAGGTTCACGGAGGATAGATCTATCAGTGGCTACTAGCCAAAATGACTAAAGAGAGCCTCCACACTCAGAGGCAGTAAGCCTCTGTATATTAAGGGAAGGAGGCAACTTCAGGGGAAGGCCTCAGCATCTGTGCTCTGTTGCTGGACCTCCAGAGGAATTGGTTGGCCACTGTGTGAGACAGGATGGTGGACTGGACTAGATGGACTATTGGTCTGATCCAGCAGGGCTCTTCTTATGTTCTTACGAGAAGAAAGGAGGCGGGTCATCCCGCTCAGAGTTCCCCTTCTCTGCCCTCCTGGTAAATCCTGACAAGTTGCCTGAGAAGAAAGCACGGAGGAACTGATTGGCGCAGGGAGGGTGAGGCTTTGAGGGACAAAACAAGAGTGTCCAGGGAATTTTATCACTGCAGAAACACCAAATAGAAGACAGATTGTGATGTGAAGCTTTTTAGATTAGAAATAACTGATTAGTGCACCAAATGTACCTTTCTGGAAGTGAAGTGCAGAATCCAGAGTGTCTGAGGAAGCAAACAGAACAGAAAGTAAGCAGACAACCCTTGTATATATCGCAAATCTTGCAACAATAGTATTCATTAACAGCATATTGTTTTGCTTGGTTTTAGCTAAAGGATTAAGTAGAAGCTGCTTGTGGGGAAAAATCTTCACCAAATTTTAGTTGTGTGCAAATATTCAAATTTATTTTCACTTAATTTAAGTTTCCTCTCTGTTTCTAAGTATGGCTGCTGTTAGACTGAGAACACAAAGAGAAAACGTACCTCAGTCTGACACTTCACTCTCCTAGAAAGAGGCTAAGAATGATCCTGAACACGGGTATCCAGAACTTAACTGCTTTGAGTTGCTTGAGAATTGCATTACATAAAGTATTCTAAGGCTGGCAGCCCAAGGGTCCAATGAAGATATGCTTAAAATACTTCCATACAGCGGTTTTGCTCTGATGTGGCATCCAAACTTGGGGGGTGGGGGGTGGAGACTCACACAATATGGTCCCCTAACCCTCCTCTTTCTGGGATCTCTCCTGCTTTGCTCTGGACTTTACGCAATCCTATTTGATACGATCTTTTGGGAAGGACTGCAGTCTTCGGCTATTTTTTTGATATGTTGTGTGGACAGGGAGGTATGCATTTGTGAAGGACCCACCTGTATCAGCGCCACTTTCCTTGCCACACTGTCCCTGCAGCTGTTATTTCTCTCCTTCCACTAGCTTCTCTGGTGCTAGTTGTTTCTCTGAATTCCCAGCTTTCATTTATTGAAAACAAGTAAGTCTTTCGCAATACTTTAGCTCCATCAGGCTCTTTATTGACAACCTTCATTGGTCAGTCCTGGTTCCCCCCAGGAAGAGCTTGTAATTCCTTCCAGCAATGGAGAAAGGCACGGCTAATACGGTTTTGGGATATCACCAATAAAGGTTCAGTTTATGACAAATCAAAATTGGAAAAAGAACACAAGGTATCTTTACCTTGGTTTGAGTATATGCAATTTAACAATCTCATCTCTTCGTTCAATTCTAAAAAATCCCCGCTCCGAAAGTCTTTAACAGATTTTGAAAAACTGCTGGTTAGCACAATAAACTTGAATAGAGGCCTGATGTCAAAAATTTATAAAATTCTAATCTTGCCAAATTCTGATAGATTAATAAAATATCAATCCTCCTGGCATGCAGATTTAAACAAGGAGCTTACTGCAGATCAATGGAACCAAATTTGGAACTCACCACCCGCCACCTCGAGACCTTTGAACATTCAGTTGCAAAACTTTAAGCTTGCTTCTCCCTGGTACCTGACTCCTGCACAACTAACTCACTCAAATCCTACTAATCCAGTTTGGTGTAGTGGTTAAGTGTGCAAACTCTAATCTGGGAGAACCGGGTTTGATTCCCCACTCCTCCACTTCCACCTGCTGGATGACCTTCGGCAAGCCGTGGTTCTGGCACAGCTGTTCTTGAAAAAGAGGAGTTTTTGTCAAGAGCTCTCTCAGTCCCACCTACCTTACAGGGTGTCTGTTGTGGGGAGGGGAGGGGAAGGGAAAGGAATTTGTAAGCCACTGAGACTCCTTTGGGTAGTGAAGGGTGGGGTATAAATCCAATCTCTTCTTCTTCTTCTATGCCTCCAGTCTGCTGGAGACAATGTGGTGAGCGAGGGACTTATTTCCATGGCAGGTGGTCTTGTAACTTGGTTGGTATATTCTGGACCCAAGTTCAAATTCATAAGATCACTGGTTATTGGATTCCCAGGACCCCTGAACTGTTCCTTCTCAATTTGTGGGATCACTGCCATGTACCATGTTCCCAAGGTAAAACGAGAACTTATTATGTTAATGTTATTTGCTGCAAAATGTCTTATTGCTTCACACTGGAAATCTACATCAATTCCATTGCTGCAAGAATGGTTCATAAAACTGTGGGACCTATTTTTTCTGGGACAAAATTACAAATAATTAGATAAGTCTAGAGGTTCCTCAAATCAGCCCAGTCTTCTAGAGAAATGGTACCCCTTTGTTACACAAACATTGATCAGGCATCTCAGATCGTTGTTATATACTGAACAAGAATCAAATCTCTCTTCTCTGCTCACACTGAATGAATTGTAATTATTCCTTTTCATGCTATGATGAAGGTTCTAATGCTAATTTATATTTGTTAAGATGAGCATGATATTTAGATCTATATTTGTATTTATCTTTTGTTGTACTTCATTGATTGTACTCCATTCTATTGTCCATTTGTAATATTGTTATATTGTTCAATAAAAATAAATTTAAAAAGAAAAAAGGAAGTCTTCAGACTTTCTTCTTGTAGAGATACAAAGGAGAAGATGAAACCCTAATTTCTCTGCAATGAAAAGGACCTTTTATGAAAAAATAAAAACTGGGAATGTAGAGGAACCATGGCAGTGGGTCATTATAATATCCCTGTGTTACAGCAATCAGAATTTTTAAAAGCCCAAACTGCACATTTCCCCTTATTGCTATGTAATGAAATGGGTAAAAACATACCTTTAAAAAAAGATAAATCATCAACCATGGCAATAGATTTTTATAGTATTATTGCCTTCTAGTGATTAGTCTATTACCAATTATGGAAAAAACCGGGGGGGGGGGTAACCTGTGGTAGTATGTGGAGAAACTGTTATCTCAGGGTTTGAGACAAGGAAACTGTGAGGAAAACTGCTGTCTGGGTGCTCTCTAGCCAATGCCAAGGCCTCTGTGTTCACAGGGGTCATGAAGGTGTCATGGAGAACTTCTGCCAGGGGAAGCAGCCATTGACTCCCTGGCAGGAGGGTGGCACCTTAAACAACTGGGGGTGGAGAGGGCAAAACAGACTGGTGGGCAATTAGGATAGAAGGGGACCCAACTTGGCTGTTCTTGGCCAGACTAGAGAAGAGAGGGAAGGAAGGAAGCATGTCTCATTCAGAATTTGGTCCAAAATACATTCAACACAAGTATTTTAAAAAAATAATATTTCTACACTGCCTCTCCAGGAGACTGCTCAAGCCAGAAATCATCGTCTGAGGTAAATACTCCTGAGCTGTTGCTCCCAGAAGTAAATTACTTGCTACATTTTCCTTCTGATGTTCTTCAAGATGTTCACGGCAGCAAAGATGGGGTTCCTTGTGGTCTTCCAACCCGGTATTGGCCACATTTCTTCAGAAACAGAATGTCTCACAGTAACAAGTATTTTAAAAAAATAATATTTCTACACTGCCTCTCCAGGAGACTGCTCAAGCCAGAAATCATCTGCTGAGGTAAATACTCCTGAGCTGTTACTCCCAGAAATAAATTACTTGCTAAATTTTCCTTCTGATATTCTTCAAGATGTTCATGGCAGCAAAGATGGGGTTCCTGGTGGCCTTCCAACCAGGGCCGGCTGTCTCACTAGGCCAGCTAGTGTCTGGCCTAGGGCGCAGCTCCATCCAGGGCGCCAACTGCCCTGCCGCCGCCTCCCTCAAAGGCCCCCACCATCTCTGCCCAAAGCCGCTGCCTGCTAGTCTAGCTCGCTACCGCGGAACGCATGCTGCTCACCGTGCACCCATCCTGCCCGCCCCAACTCACGCACAGCGTGCCCATTGGTCCGCTGGCTACTGCGCCTGCGCCATTCGCCGATTCACCCCTACCACCCTCAGCCAGCCAGTGTGATTCCCACAGATGCACTTGCCGACGCCGGCAGCAGCCCCAGCCAACCACTAGCCAGCCCAGCCCACAGGGAAGGTAAGTTCATGAGCTGGCCCTGGGGGGTGGGTGGCGGGGGTGGCGAGGGTGGCGGCAGCAGTGAGGGTGGTCGAGGGGGATGGTCAAGCGCAGCGGCGGCGGCAGGAGGGAAGGTGGCAGCGCCCCACCAAAGCCCCCCAGCACCCACCAAAAGGACACGGAGGGGCGCAGCAGCAGCGGAGCCAAAAAGAGGACGGGCAGAGTAAAACAATAGGTGAGGGCGCAGGAGTGTGGGCGGATGTGACGGGGGGTGGGGCGGCAAAGCAGCCTGGCGCACAGACTCCCGCGCCGCCTGGCTGTGGGGGGCGCTGGTGGCTCCCCTGCACCAGGGTGCCTGGCCTGGGGGGGGAGGGAGGCCCAGGCTGATGCCTGCTGGAGCTGCCCCGCCGCAGCCTCCTTAGGAGGGCCTGGGTGGGAAGGAGGGAGGCCCTTGGAGGAGAGCTCGACAGGGAAGGGCCCAGCCCGGGTGGGGGGAGAGCGCTTGCCATTTCCAAACCAGAGGCGAGCTCCTGGTCTAAAGCAACGCGTGCAGCCAGCGTGTCACGTGGCGTCACTCTGTCTCCCCCCCCCAGGCGGCCAAGCTGGGAGGTCTCCAGGCCCCACCGGGAAGCTGGCATCTGAGGGGGGTGCCACGAGGCGGCCTCGCCTAGGGCGCACAAACCCCTCGGGCCGGCCCTGCTTCCAACCAGGTACTGGCCACATTTCTTCAGAAACAGATTGTCTCACAGTACCATCCTAAGCAGAGTTGCACCCTTAAAAGCCACTTGACTCTGCTGAAGAGAGCACTGTCAATTCCCTTGAGGCCATTTTGTGGGCTTGGTTAGGACACATTCAAGTTAATTAAACACTCAGTATTGACAGTATGATCTTCTGAGGCACTGCGCCCTTTGCTGGACCAGATGACTAACCTTAACAAGAACTTTGATGCTTTACAGAAAGAACGTAAAGAAACTAAGAGTAAAACAGAGCAGACATCTAAAACGCTGGAAAAAGTTGATCATAAGACAAAAAAATTGGATCAAAGAATAGAAGCAGCGGATAAAGAAAGGGCTTCAGAAAAACTATTGAAGCTTCAAGTGGAAAGATCTCAATATGTCCTTAGATTTCAAGGGATCCCAGAAAAGAAGGATGAAAATTTGAAGCAGATCTTAAGTGAAGCTTTGGCTCCCCTGGCAAACTGTAAACCTGAAATACTGCAAGCAGATATGGACATGGTTTATCGAACATATCCAGAATTTGTTAAGAAAAGGTCGAGAAGATACTTGATACTTAAAAGTGACTAATGGAATAACCCTAAAAATCCAAGAAGAAGAAGCAAAGATTTTAAAAGATGTTCCATTTGAGATAGGGAAAAAGAGGAAGCGATACAGAAATGTTACAACATTCCTACAAGGAAAATCAATTCCTTATCGATGGATTATTCCATAAGGTCTTATCTTCAATTTCAATGGAAAAAAAGAAAAGATTGAGTCTCTTATTAAAGCTAAGAACTTTCTGGAACATCAAAGCCCAGTAAAGGAAAAAGGAAAAGCAAAGGACAATAATGCCACAGAAGACAAAAGCGAAAAAGAAGAACAGTGACAGTTCATTTTCTACATCTACATCTACAGGCGATATTTTTGACTTTGAATCTGAAATGGGGGCAGCTTCTCCCAGATCATATAAGGTTAAACTCCTCCTTGGGAAGAAGAAATGGAAAGGAAAGAAAGCAAATAAATGAAGACCTGAGAATCTCCGTGGTGTTTTATACATAATGCACTTCAATGTTTAATTTTACCTATTCGGTATACTCTTTTAATATAAAACCAAATATTATACTGTAAACTTAAACATTTGGGAAATATCAAGAAACTAGACATAGAATGTTAATGATCCTTGCCTACTCTGTATTTTAGAATAGATTGATAGTGTGTAGTAGGTAGGTTGTAGAGATAAAAGCAATAACATATATATTTTTTAAAAAGCATAAGAGATTAGGAAGAGGTGTCAAGAATACACAGAAGAACTATACAAGAAATCGTTGCATTATGGGTGAGAACGGGACATCTAGGGGGCGGCCATCTTTTTAGAAACTGTAAATTGGAATTTAGTTGAGAGGAGCACTATGATTGTTTTAATGTTGATGTATTTTAAGAAATTTTGTACTGTTTTCTATTTTATGTGGCGACATGCCTTGTTAGCCGCCCTGAGCCTCCGGGGAGGGCGGGATAAAAATGCGAATAATAAATATAATATAAATAAATATAAGAAGGACCTCAATGTTCTTGACAACCACAACGGTGTGATCACTGACCTCGAGCCAGACATCCTGGAGTATGAAGTCAAATGGGCTTAGAAAACATTACTAACAAAAAAGCTAGCAGA